ATGTAAATTTCTTTGACAAAAAATGCTATTCATACGATTCTGTTCTATGGAAATGAGTTTACTACACTAATTTAACGTACAGATTAACTTGCAAAATTTCTACAGATAAAGCGAATTTTTGCCATATCAACTCGCGCTACACATGAAATTATGAACAAAGTGACAACTTCTAAGTTTTTTTCATGTTTTTTTTTGTTTTCTCGTTTGTTTTATCCTTTTTGCCAAATTTGATTTATTGTGGCTGGACATTTAGTTGGAAGGCAGTGGAATAGACATAAACGTTTTTTCAAAAAAAACTGAATAATTTTCAAAAACTGTCTCGAAAAAGTCCGTTTTTGGTAAGAAAATATCACAACTGATTTTTACAAAAATTTGTATTGACCCGGTTTCTTAATTTGGATAGTTTTTTATCAAAAAATCTACATTATTAAAAGTTGCCCAAACCCAAAAAAGGATCTTTTTTCCTTTGAAACTTGAAAATTTTGATTTAAAAGTCAGTAACTGACACTGTTTGACAGTTAGTCGATTTCGTAGAAAATGTTTATTCTAGTGCATAATTGGTTCCAGCTCAAACGAGTTTTTATTAAGGTCAGCTCTAGATTGTTTTTCTATTGCCTTTGTTCGTTTCGGTTATATCCTTGAGTTTAGTAGTTTTACTTTTTTGTTTTATGGCAACTAGATTTGATTTTAACGTTGAAAAAACATTTTGATGTCCCATTGAAGCTGAATAAACTGAAGTGAATCAAAACTACCTAAAAACATTTGTAAAAGATTTTTTAGATGGAAAAAGCCTACTGTACAGTTTTAAAATGCTTTTTCACTATAGTAAGAAAATTGTTTTTGCCAGAAAATTGGAAGGGAGTCGAAAAGATAATTTTTTTCTAAACTTAGTTCCAAAACATAATTACGCTTTCTTTCATGACCATCTTTTTTTAACGCTTTATTTACGGACCAACAGACTGTTACATACCTTCAATGAGCACAATTCTACATGGCGCAGTCACAAACAAAATCGAGCTATCTTGGGCTTGGTGTGTTTTGTAACGGGCCGACTCAAGTGGCGTCGGTACTTTGGGAATATTGAGCGCAGAGATTTCAGCTCCTTGTAATCGCCGAAGAATATATCGACATTGAGGAAATACTTGCCAAAAATACGTTGTTTGAAAACGTGTACCCGTTTTTTGGAGAATTTAATGGAACGTAGGACCCTCACGTGAGTAAAGATAGAATGGCACGTAATGAAAGAGTAATGCAGGTATGGAGGGTCGAAAAAACCCATCTGTTAGAAGATGAAAAGCGATTGTTTAAGGAGAGTACCAGGAGAGAAGCGGTTAACGACTCAAGTCGAAGTTATTTCTGTCGTTCGGAAAACATGGACAAAGATATTTCTTTCAGATGTACCCTCGAATCAAGATTCTCGAAATTAACTTCAACGAGCTGTAGAAGTTGGCCATAGATGCTTTTATGAAGCAGCCAAAGGTTACAAAGCGTAGGTTAATTCTGCTCGGAAGATAACAAATGGGAGAACGAGGGATGGAACATTTTTACGGCGGAGCTTTTTTGTGATTTATCACGGGTGTTTGATTTTGGTCAGAAGGAGGAGTCAATAGTTCGGGACGTGTTTGTTTTCAACATGCGTAACGAAGAGATTCGTAGGCAGTCGTGTATGGAGACATTGCTACCATCAGATGCATTACGATTCGCAGTGGTGAGAGAGAGGTGAAACGATGTATAAGAGAGTTAGCGAAGTTCTGTCGAAGTTGTGGAGAGAAAAGTTTACCCGAGGGTGATCAAAAAACGAGGGAAACCAACAATCAGGATACATAACAAGAGAACCCGTGACCGAATTCAGGTGTCAAGGGCAAGATAAATGCCATAACTGCGGAAATTGACTGAAGCGGAACCATCGAGAACATTGCCCTGCAAAAAACATCATATGCTACAATTGAGGAGATTATAAGTAGAGCATTGTAAATAATGTCACTTAACCAAATTGTTGAGTTAAAACTTACCCATTATGAAAAGAACGTTTTTCAAGTGCAGAGAAAAACGACGAGGCGTTTGGCGTGTTTGCAATGTGTGCGGTGCAGGATAAAACCGGTAATGAAAATCGGAAATTGTTAGATTTTTAACTGGGGGAAAACATTGGCGTGCCAAAATTCAGATAGATTGCGCTAGTCCAGTGTCTTTTCTCTTGGAAACAAAAAGGCACGAACTTAAGACCAGGAAAAGTTTTGTTCGTTGGGTTACGAGCCATTTGACGAATGCCTTTTACAGGTCGTAAGATGATACGATCAAGATAGTTGGAAAAATTTTCGTCGATATTAGATCCGAAGGATGGCTAGCAGAAAATGTGGAATTGTTTAATACCGAGGGTGGTCAACGAGATATAATTAGCATTAATGCTTTATCTCACTTGGGTACGAAGTTTGAAATAAGTTGAAATATGGTTCAGTCAACGAGGCAGAACGGAGGGGCAACTTTTTGGAAATGAAGTATTCTCCAATTCAACGTAAACACAAAAAGTTTATTCTGCAAAAATTCAGTGACTTGTTTGAACGCAAAGAAGTGCTCAAGAACTCTGAGTTACGAACACAATTTCATGATCCGTTGCACCCAATACAGGTCTCAATTTACATATTGCCTAAGGTGGAAGAATGCATTGGTATTTTTTTAACAGAGGGTCATTTCGTCAAATTGGGAAAAAGTACAAAATATCATCTCATTTGAACGACGGTTGTAACCGCCAAACGCAATGGGTCAGCGAAAGTGATGTTAAGTTCGAAACTAATAAGTAAACTAATCTACAAAAACCGCTATCAGATGCCAAAATCTGAATGAGTTGATTGATGATTTTGTCTTAACTATTAGCGGTAATCTTGACGATCCCATCAAGTTTTCAAAAAATGCCCTAAATACGCGTATTCCCAAATGAAACAAAGTGAAACGACTAGCCGACAATGTATTTTCAGCATCGTTTCTATATCAGGAACATACCGGTTAAGAACGGAGAATTAGGGTTTTTGGTTTGGGGGATATGCCTAACAAAATTAATTGAGTAATGTGTCCTTTGTTGGGTCATTTGCCGGGGTGCAGGTGTTATTGGACGACAGTCTAACGGCAGCCCGCGGTACGGAAGAACGCCACTGGAATGAAGTCAAGCAGGCGATGGAGGTTCTCGATGCAAACAAAGCGGCGGTTTATTGGAGTAAATGTAATTCCTTTGTAAAGGAAATCGATTGGTTGAGATTTCGATTGTTCACTAAAGTTACGGTACCGATCGAACGTAAGGTTGATTCTATAGCAAAAATGAAAAGACCGGAAAATATCACCGATATTAGGTCATTTGATACTATCTATTATTCATTTTATTCAATTTATACCAAACCTTGCAGCTAAAACGGAGCCGTTCAGGAATCTTATGAAACAACACCCTCGTTTTGAGCGGAGCGATTCCCATGAAAAAAGTTTTCAGCAGATGAAAACTATTGTAAGTAAATCCGTCCAATAGCATCCTTTTGACCTGCAAAAACTAACTAGAGTGAAATGCGATGCTTCAAAACAGGGCCTGGGGGCTGCTATAGAACAGCTACGTTCGGATGAATGGAAACTGATTCCGTACTTATTTAGCTTCTAGTATGACGCGGAATTACTAAACAGTATAAATGCGCTAAAACTATTGGCATTTGTTTGGGCTGTGACTCCATACCAAAATTACTCGTTTGGCACTCCATTCAAAATCGTAACAGATCATAAAGCATTGTTATCGTGTTTTTCCGAGAAGAAAAATACAAAAACAACTTGAACGAGGTAAGTAAGTTGGGTAGTCCGACTGTTGCCCTTGCATTACGATATTGAACATATTCCGCGCAAAAATATGAGATTATTGGATTATTTGTCTCGTCATCTAGTGGGGGTAACGCCACATTCGTTAGAATTGGATAACACTTTCTGTAGCAAAAGTTAGTTCAATTAGTAGGCTGCTTTAACCGGCTACCAAATCAAACTTGTTTGACATATTAGAATTATTGACCATATAGGCGATACAAAATTGGAACGAGAATTACGTCATCGTAAAGAAGTTGCAGCGAAGAAACTAATTGATGCGTTTGGAATCTGTCATTCGATCAGATATGTACTGTTGTACACACGCGCATTCAACACTGCAATAAATGTACTTTACTGAACCCCTTAAGAATACACCGCAATTTTTCAACCACTGGAAAAGGGCAGAAATCCCGTGAATTGCCGATTATTAATGTCCATGTGACTAGTTCATCAAAACAGCAGTCGGATGAAACTTCCGTAGTTCCACCGGAAAAGTTTCCCATTACCTTGCTTGAATTACCGGAGCTCTTCTACGCCGAAATTTTTGCAATCCCTAATAGGCGGATAAAAAGTCGAATAGTATTGGTGAAGCCTAACAATCAAATAATTTAAATCAGATCCGTGACTTGGGCCCTCACTTTACAAAATATCTTGACAAGCTGCATACATCAAACAGAATACTTTTCTAAGACGACAAAAAAGTGATGCACACCACAATTGCGGGTAGCAATCGTGAATAGGCTCCACAAAGATCATTCGGACATGTAAAAAATGAAAAAAGTAGCCAGTAGTTACTTTTAGTGGCCTCACTTGAACTGACAAATCCAATTGATGGCGGCTAATTGTCGAGAGTGCATATAGTCTGTTAGGAATTTGAAATCAGTAACTCCCGAGGGGAATGGTAAAACCCTTGACGTTTTAGAAGAATCGAATCAGTAGAATTCTTGAGGCCGTTACCGGCGGTTTGGGGAGCCAATAATTACTTACTTATCTGTGTGGATCGATACTCTAAGTTTCCTTCAACTCAAATTACTAGAAAAACAACTGTTGGGGTCATTATGGAAGCTGCGGAAATCTGTACGGCGTTACGCGCTATACCACAGTTAATTCCAAAAGCTCACTACCCAGCCAACGGGCTCAGATGGTCGACGACCTCTCAATCCTGAGGATCCATGAAAAGCAGCAGCACTGAAACAATCGAGAATGACTCCTCAAAAAGTGCCGAAACTAGGGACAAGAATATGGACAATGAGGTATTAAAGTTTGGATCAGTGGAAAACACGATTGTCAATGATAGCTCCTCAGATGGGTTGATGTCTCTGGAAAGTCCAGTAGGTAATTCAGTTAGGTACACCAATTTCGAGACAAATTGTCAAAGCGATGCGTAGCATCCGAGCGTCCCAAAGCACCCGCGAGTTGACCGATAGTAACAGACGACTTAGATTTTGCAAACGAGTTATCGGCATTTAGTATGACTGAGGAAGATCAGTCTAGTGGAGCTTCAAAGCCTGTAACCACTCATCATTTAAAATCTCTAATCTTACCTCGATAGGGGGAAAAAAATGAGAGGTTAGCGACAAACTCTTGATAAAATAAAACTATTTCTGTTAATGAAGCAGTAAAATTGATTATTCTACATTTCCAATTAATGTAAGAGGGAGTGTAGTTAGGTATATTATGTATTTTTTCAATATCACGTATGATGTTTTACTTTGTTAGATTATGGTATCAAGGTCAACTGTATAGAGGTGATAAACCATGCGTGTTGCCAATGGTGCTGGTGTTCGAAAAGAATTTAAGCTGTTCTTTTACGCTTTCTTTTCTGGCCAACAGACATTTACGTACCTTCAATGAGTACACTTCTATACTGTGAATGTAGTTTTGTGAATATGGCGAAGAGGGCTGCAAAATTCTGTTCAAGAAAGCCAAAAAATACACGAGATTTAATATGGCTGAATATTTAGATTATCCAGAAGTGCCAAAAAGCTTCGAAAACTGCATTTTAACATCAAGAAAGTGTCTGAATCTTTGGTCCTAACAAATAATGCACAACATTAGTCACTAGTTCTAAAGGTTTCAATTTTTTAATGGCAAACGATCTATTCAGTTTAGATTTGAATAAACAAAGAATTCTCATCTTCCAACAAAAAAAAACAAAAAAAAATTGATTTTCTTTAGAATTCAAGCTTGTATAAATCCTGGTCAGTGAAATGAGCAAGAAGACAGCATTTTAATGAATGACTGAAAAATATATAATTTTTTTAGCGAGAGTCGATTTGAGTGCCAACTTAATGCTTTTTGACAATTGCTAGGAAAAAATGAAAAACCTTTTTGGGGTTTAATCGAGTTCTTCAATCTGTATGCTGTTTTGTTTTCTTTCCTGTGTAATATGAGGTTGCTGATTAAGCTGGATGTCCTTCTTTTCATCTATCACGTAAACATTTACAAGAATGGTAAGATTGGTTGAAATTCTATGATAGATATTATTATGAGGTAACATTGTCTTAATCTTAATGTGTTCAGATGAACCTAAAAGTGACAAGTCATTGCAGGTTTTGCGATTTCTTTACCAGCAAAGAAGTTATCTTTAAACTCAAGCTGCTCAATATACAAATCTTTTTGTGAAACTTAAAGTTTACCCTGATGATTGACTGTGGTCAACCCTAAATGACTCATTTTGTCAACCCTTGTCAAATTATATGCCAACCCTTGACGACTGTAAATACTATCAATATGTCTGCCACTTATGTAGTTTAATGCATTCTGATAAATTTCCAACCAATGAAACCAGATAAAGTTCTTATTTGATTCCAAAAATATAATCATTACCAGCTGATGCAAATTACTTAGCCATAAATCATATATGCTTACGTGACTTCATTTTAGCTGAAGAAAAATTGACTCAAGCGACAAATTCGAGCACAGAGCCTTCAACCAAGAGCAGCCATGTCCCCGAAAATCCAATCGAGGCGAATTCAACTCAACCTGAAACGACTCAGGCAGAATTAGAAAATACTTCCGAAGTTGATGGCTCTGAAAGCAACCTAGAAACATCAACTGCTGAAAAGAAAACTAGCACGAAAGACACGCTTAGTTCCTGTGGCGAAGACATTATAGGAGTCTTGAGTCTAGTCTTACCAATTATTCTCAGCTTCTATCTCTAGCTTAACATCTATGCTGTTTTTTTTTTTTCATTTAAAATTTTTTATCTGTTTGATAAAAAAAATTGAAAGTAATTTTTTGAAAGAAGCTTTTATTACATAGTGCACTAAAGCTTAGATCATTTAAAACAGGCGAACATAGACGACATTTATTGGCTCTGCAAAAGGCGACCCTAGTAATTTGTTCAACATTAGTTATTTTATACCTTTAACAAAAATTTTTTGAAGCTTCAGTTAGAATGTTCTTAGCACAAATCATCTGAAAAAAAAGCGCAAAAAAACACTCATTCAGACTTGCTTTTTCCGAACTCTATAGACACATGATATGAATGACCTAGAGGCTTCTCTTGCAAGAACTTCAAGGCAAACGACACACACCTGAACAAAATTCTTCCCAGTTATTTGTTGTTCTAGAGTCCCTCAACAAATGGGTTTTGACCATTGTAGTAATTTTGCAGATTTTGCGGTCATTTAAACAATACTTTTGGTCTTTTTAGCTAGCTTTTGCATGCACCATTTGATTATAAAATCTGTCATTATATTTTTTATCAATCGATTTCCAAAATTGTCATTGGGTTCCGCAGTTTGTTTTTGAAAGCGAAACAAGACTGCTCGTATCAGGGCGAAGCCCTGAATGTTCCGACTGCCTTTTAAGGTTTATGGAGCAGCAGTAATAACTTTAAAAAATTAAATGATATAAAATAAAATGAAATTTTTTTTCTTCTAAAATTTGAAATTTTTAAAGAAAATTATCCCCCCACACGCCATTTTTAAAGTATAAAAAGATAAATTTCGTTCCTTGTAACAAATCATTTATGGCAAATAAGCTTCGTTCAACCAATTTGGAACGATTTATAACGGGTTTTATCTCCGCTTACGCGTTAATAGCGCGAATTGTATCGCGCGTTAATTGTCCCAAATTTGTCAAAATTGCAATCTTTAAACCCTCATAACTTTACGAAAAATGATCGCAGGTGAAGTATCTTTTCAAATTTAAGCTCAGTACAACAATACCTTTTGAATGATATAAAAAAATTCCGTCAAAAATGGCTAGTTAAAAAGTCGAAATTTGTCCGAAGAAAAAAAAATCCACCCCGAACACAAATATTCCGTTACTTTCGTATCGAAAGTCGGAAAAAAAACACTGCTGAACTGCAAAATCCACTGGAAAATCCAAGAATGCAGTGAATTATAATGGGATTCGCTTAAATACAAAACAAATTTTTGACTGGAATCCAAAACAAGCATGGTTAAGCGTTTGTCTCTCAATTCCAATTTGTATCTGGATCACAGATTCTCGCTACTTCAAATCAGCATAAAGTTAGTCATTTTTTTTTCATTGCCTCGTTGGATATCAATGCGAAAAGCGATTGAGATGGAACAAAACGACGATGACAAGGTATCTAAGCCTGGTGTATTATTGAAGCAGCCTGAAAAAATTTGCTTTCCTTTTGGTTACGGATTTAAATTAAAAACTGTAGTTAACTGTTGTTAATTGAAATCAACCAAAATTTAACCAATACTTCTAAGCATTGGTTTTATCAATGTTTTTTTTTGACGAAAAGCGGTATTAATAATTTGTTTTATATAGGTTATTTCACAGCTTTAAAAACAAATTTTGAAGCTTGAGTTAGAAATTTTTAGAAATAAAAAAGTTTTAAAGGCGTTTTTTACAAATAAGTTTCAGATAGTAACGAGTGATTTGTTATATCAAAACTTTATCAAAGCTTCCAAGAAGTTTGCTTATAATTTTGTGAATTTCAGACCTTTTTACAGCATTTACAGCAGCAAATGTGGCAAAAAAACGCTTTTTATTTGTTCTACAAAAAGCGGTACTAGTAATTGTTCCGACTTTCGATACGAAAGTGACGGAATATTTGTGCTCGGGGTGGGTTTTTTTTTCTTCAGACAAATTTTGACTTTTTAACTAGCGGACGGAATTTTTGACGGAATTTTTTAATATCTTTTGAAAGGTATTGTTGTCCTGAGCTCAAGTTTGAAAAGATATTTTACCTGTGATCATTTTTCGTAAAGTAACGGGTGTTTAAAGATTGCCATTTTGGCCAATTTGGGACAATTAATGCGCGAAATTTTTCGCGCTATTAACGCGTAAGCGGAGAGTTAATCCGCCTTAGAAATCGTTCCAAATTGGTTGAAAGAAGCTTATTTGCCATAATTGAATCGTTACAAGGAGCAATATATATCATTTTGTACTTTATATGGCGTGTGGGGGAATGATTTTCATAAAAAATTTCAAATTTTAGAAAAAAGATTTCATTTCGTTTTATTTCATTTAATTTTTTAATGTTATTACTGCTCCATAAACCTTAAAAGGCAGTCGGAACATTCAGGGCTTCGCCCTGATACGAGCAGTCTTGTTGTTCAGACTTTCGATACGAAAGTAACGGAATATTTGTGCTCGGGGTGGGTTTTTTTTCTTCAGACAAATTTCGACTTTTCAACTAGCCCTATTTGACGGAATTTTTTTTATCATTCGAAAGGTATTGTTTTCCTGAGCTTGAATTTGAAAAGAAATTTTACCTGTGATCAATTTTCGTAAAGTTATGGGGGTTTAAACATTGCCATTTTGGCCAATTTGGGACAATTAACGAGCGATAAATTTCGCGCTATTAACGCGCGAGCGATATTTAATCCGTCTTAGAAATCGTTCCAAATTGGTTCAAGGAAGCTTATATGCCTAATTGATTTTTTAATAGGCGCAAAATCTATCACGTTGTACTTAATATGACGTGTGGGGGGATGTTTTTACATAAAATCTCAAATTTTTTTGAAAATTGTTTTTTTTTTGTTACATTGAAATTTTTCATCTTATTAATGCTCCATAGACCTTAAAAGGTAGTCGGAACTTTCAGGGATTCGCCCTGATACGAGCACTTTTGTTTGTTTTAGATAGGATGTTTTATAGTTTCGATAACAAAGTTTTTCCTTTGCGAAAAGCATAAAACATTTTAAAAAAGGCGCAAAGCGTCGTTTTACTTGCAAACACTCATCCAAACTCATTGGACACATGATAAGAATGACTTAGATGTTTCTGTTGCTTAAACTCAAATACAAACAGCACTTGAAAAAAATCCTTCCAAGTTTTTTAGTTCTAGAATCCCCCAACAGACAAAATTTGACCCTTGAAGAAATTTTGTAGAATTGCAGAAATAT